ACAGGTTTGTAGAGGTTTGCACAGGTTTGTAGAGGTTTGCACAGGTTTGTAGAGGTCTGCACAGGTTTGCACAGGTTTGTAGAGGTTTGCACAGGTTTGTAGAGGTTTGCACAGGTTTGTAGAGTTTGTAGAGGTTTGCACAGGTTTGTAGAGGTCTGCACAGGTTTGTAGAGGTTTGCACAGGTTTGCACAGGTTTGTAGAGGTTTGCACAGGTTTGTAGAGGTTTGCACAGGTTTGTAGAGGTTTGCACAGGTTTGTAGAGGTTTGCACAGGTTTGTAGAGGTTTGCACAGGTTTGCAGAGGTTTGCACAGGTTTGTAGAGGTCTGCACAGGTTTGTAGAGGTCTGCACAGGTCTGCACATCTTTCCACGGGCCTGCACAGGTCTGACAGCTGTGATTGTGACAGCTCATAAAGAATCCCGGGCTCTGCTGTCATTATTATTACATTAGACCCTCCTCCCTCTCGACAGGAGCTTCAGCGCGACTGCAACATCGCACACCCCACAGAGAAGAAGAGGAAGAGGGGAAGAGGACGGGTAGAGAAAGAGAGAGAAGAGGGAGATGCAAAGAGAAGACAGAAAAATGGGAAAGAGCAATGTAGGGTTAGCTCAGAGGAAAAAGGTTGGAGACCTGTGCTCGAGAAGAATAAATTTCGATTTTTAGAACTAAGTGAGTCAAATATAAAAGGATCTTGACCATAAATTGTGCTGATTTACGCACTTATACTTGTTCTAATTCCTCTTTCTCTTCACTTTCTGCCACAGTGCATAAATAAAACCAACAGTGAGGTTTGTAAAAAAGGCTCATGGATCAAACCGCAGAAGAAACAAAGTCCAAGTTAGTCCTGTTGTCGCTGTTTTTTTTACTAAGTTGAGCGTCCACGCCAAAGACTAAATGAAGGATCGGTGATTTGGTCTGAGCGCTCGACGATTATATACCTAAAAAACTTGCGATATCGAAGCTTTTGCCGATATCAGTGTCGATATCAGTGTTCCAATCCAGAAGGAAAATGGAAAGGCAGAAGGAAAAGGGAAAAGTCTGACGTCCGGATTAACGACACAAATCAAAATTAGTCTTAAAATCAGAGCAGATCATCATAAATATTTAGACTTTTTTGAATATTGCAGAGGAGAGAGGGAAAAGAGAGAAGAGGGAGAAGAGGGAGAAGAGGGGAGCGTGAATAAAATATGTGGAGCATGTCTAAAGGAGAAGGAGGAAGGGAGCAGGGGAGAGAGGAGAGAAAAAAAAGAGGACAGGGGATAGAGAGAGAGAGGGAGAGGAGAGCAGCGGGAGGAGAAGAGGAGCCTAAACTCAGCATCTGTTTGAGACATGAATGTTTATGAGGAGCGTCCCACAGGAACCAGCCCCAACAGAGAGAGAGAAAGAGAGAGTAGATAAAAAAAAAAGAGAGCAAGGAGAAGTTTTTTTTTTTTTGCAGACACATGACAAAAACACCACCTGCCCTCACACTCAGAGCCGCCAATGAAAACACTTTAAACTCCAAAGAAAACCTGCATTAACCAACCAAATGACTCGTATTTTTGGTCGCTTTTTTAATTTGATTTTGAGAGTTTGAGTGAGTGAAAAGCCGACATGGACTGAGCTCCAGTATCTGTGCTGCTAAATTGTGATGTTAAACAATAATGCGGTTGAATATTTAGTTTGAAAAGGTTTTAAAAAATGGTTAATTCATTTCTTATTACAGGTTAATGTTTAAAAGTATGTATTTGTTATTTAAAACCAGAAAAGGATTATTTTCCTTTCATAAAAACATGTTAGTCTACGTTCAGACTGCAGGGATTAACGATCAATTCGGTTTTTTTTGCGAAATCCGATGTTTTTTCGAGGTCGTTCACATTTCCAGTTAAATGTGACTTGTATGTGACTCCAGTGTGAACATTAAACGGCCCAAAAGTGTCCCACATGTGACACTGGAGACACGACGACGTCAACCGCAGCGAGCGTCTCTGTGTTTACAGAAGTTGTCCAAACATGGACGCAGCATCGAGCACCTGGAGATTTTAAAGTTCCTCTCGTACCGGAGCCAGAACATGAACAACTGACTTGTTTTAAGGAGGAGATTGAGAAGGAGAAGGACGAGGTTTTTGGTCGTGGTGTTTTGTGGTTCAGTCCGTTGAAAGGAACGTGTGGATGTGGAGACGGAGCCAAGAGTGGTGAGTGGAGATGTGCTTCACTTCAGTCACACAGAGTTCATTAACAATTTTCACCTACTTCAGTGCAGAATAGTGACGTTTGTGTCTTGTTGATAACGTGTAGGTGGATGAATGCACTTTGGCCGTTCAGACTGAAGTCACATGTCAAAAGATCAGATATGTATCAGTTTCAGGAGCACATATCCAAGTGTCCTGGGTCACATTTGAAAAAATCTGATCTGTGTGGTTCAGACTGACATTAAAAGATCAGATACAGGAACATAGGGGCCAAAAAATCAGATTTGCGTCACTTCAGGTGCAGACTGAACGTAGACTTGGATAGAATGTAGTGAGGTGTAAGAGAAAGATGATGAGTTGAGACTGGCAACATTTTTTCAGTAAAGCCATTTTTTAACTGAAGTTATCGCTCGTATCACATGCCCACGTGAAATATCGGCCCCTATCAGCAAACACATCGGCCGATAATATAGGCCAACCGATATATCGGTCGGGCTTCACTGCCGACCTTCGGATCAGTGGACAAACTCTACCAACTGAACCAGTGCTCCAGCCGTGTTTCAGTTTATCGTTTAAAGAAGACGTATTGTGCTGGTGTTTGGTTATAATGAGAAAAGAGAAGAACAGAAGAGCAGAAAAAAGAGGAGCAAACATCTCCAGAAAGACTGAGCAGGAGATCAGCAACAATCAGCTCTGATGGACGAGAGCCAAACTACAGAGTGAAGGACTGTGTTTACTGCAGAACACTGTACGACAATCACACACACACACACGTACACACACACACACACACACACACACACACATAAACACACACTGCAAAGACGTATACGAGTGTCTCTTCTCTGTTCTAGGACATGTGCTCCTCTGTGGACGAGAAAACAATGAATAATCAGCTTTTCAAACGGAGCGTCTGCGGGGATCTGAGCGCCTCGAGGTTTCCCCGAGACAAACACGGAATTCAGATCAGACACGACGTCCGGCTGCATAAACCGCCACGAGAGGACTGAAAACACACTTCGCAGAGGTGCTCTACATGTGTGTCTGCGGAGGAATGTTCAGCAGTTACCATGGAGACGCGACACACACACGAGAGCAAACACCGGCGACAAACACAGACTGGATTTAAAGAGCACAGTTTCATTTTCCTGCGGTCAGTCCGAGCGTTCATGTTCCTGTTCAGGAGTTTGATTTTGAGCAAAAATTTGCGAGTGACAAACTCGAGTCCCGGGGTCGAAACATGGAGCTGTTTGTTCAAGTCAGAGGGGCCGAGCTCAAAGGCGCATGTCTCCAGATTAGACCATTTTGACCAATCAGAGCGACAGGAGCAGAGCAGAGTTTATCATCTAAAACAGGAGTGCCAAACTCATTTTGGTCCGGGGGTCATATCCAACCGACTTTGATCCCAAAGTGTCCGGATCAGAAAACTCATGTCATATAAACCCCAAAAATAACAATAAGTTCAAATATTTGTGCAGAGAAACACAAATCTATTACGGAAATCTTTTTTAATTGATGAACTCTTTCTTGTACAAAATATTTTAATATTATGAACAACCTGAAACTTTAAGAAAAATACAATTTAACACAAAGTTTTAACATGAACTTGTTTAAAATTAACTTGTAGAAATAGGAATAAGTAAATTTTTGTTGTAAAATCCTGCACTCGGCTCCACTTTTCTCATGTTGGACATTTTTCTGATGAGGGTGTCACGGTCAACAGTCAAAACGATCGTCCTTTAAGAGCGTTTGGAAAGAGACAAGTCTTCATTTGTGCTGCTCTGGTGGGAGGGGCCACGTACAGAGACGCTGGAGACGCTGCTGTGATAAACACCACAGAAAATTAACAAGATTTTAATAGAAAATATCATTAAAATATTTTAGTAGAAAATCAGCCGAGGGCCAGATTAAAGGTCTTGGAGGGCCGGATCTGGCCCCCGGGCCGTATGTTTGACACCTGTGATCTAAAAAAAGGTAAAAATCCAACCTTTCTGAAAACGTTATGTGCCCCGTCAGTAAGACTGGGCTAAAAAGTTGCTGATACGATACATGGGCCACGGTACGATACGTATCTCGATACAGTGAGCTTTCCATTCAATACGATATATTTTATTTTCTTTATTTTTATTTTATTTTTATTTTATACAATTTAAGTTTTCAAAAAATGTCTATATCACGTCTGTGACACTAAAAGTCTTTGTTAAACCACTTCTTCTTGTGCAAAGTTCATATGAAACACAAACATTTTAATCATCAAAACAGTGAAAATGTCAAATGTGTCAAATAAACGAGTTTCCTTCCACTGAACAAACAACAAAACTGTAGCTGTAACAAAATAGTTTAGTAAAATACACCTAAAAATTCTCTTATACTATTTATATACTATATACTACTATATACTATACTACTTATGTGATATATTGTATTGATATATGCAATATAGCAGCCCACGATATCAATATTGTATCATCACAATTAATCTGTCTTAGAGTTGTTGTTGTTGGTTTTTTTAATATATATATAAATGGTATATATACTTTTTCCATTATTTGTATTGTTAAAATGTTTTCAGTTTTATTAATATAGTGTAATAGTCGAGCAAATGAATTCTAATGATAACATAACATCAAAATAACATTTTAGTTTTTTTCCTGTACAGATTTAGTTCAGGTTTAATCATGTGTTTAAGTGTGAATCCTAAAACTAGAGGAAGGCTCCAGTCTCCTCCTTGTATTTGACGCTTGTATCGTCTAAAAGTTTCACTGCTTCACTCCACAGCATCACAAACTCTCGGGCTCCTCACTGTTTCACGTTCAGGGCGGATTTACCTTTGAGTTGTTTCTCTCCGTCTCCTTCTCTCTCTTCTTCTCCTCTTTCTTCTTCTCTTTCTGTAAAAAACAACATGGACAAGTGTCAGTTCAGTTCATTCAGACGGGAGAGAAGAAGAGGATTAGAGAGAGGAGAGAGAATTAGCTGAAATTATCTCTCAAAAAGCACTTCAGGTATTAGACAAAAAACAAAAAACATGATTATTAATATTGCGGAAAACTTGACAAAAACAAATTTCTTAACTGGGACAACACAATCAAATACGCAGACGCTGACAAAGTTTTTAATCATCTCGCTCCACCTCCTCGAAAACAAAAACTGCTCGAAAACAAGAGCAGTTCTAGAGGCGACTGCTCCGTGAGGCTCTGTGGCGTTTAGGAAAAGCACTTTTGGACAGACGCTTTTGCTTCTGGAGCAGCTCAAACATGAAACACGGAGCAGCTCATGTACGAGAACTTTCAACACTGCAGCATTTTCTAAAGATTTAAAGGGACAGTTCAGAATTTTGGACATAGGACCTGATTTCCTCGTGATCCAGAGTGTTGGAGACGTGTGGAGACACTTTTTTAAATCTTCCATCCAGTCCTTGTATTTGCAGAAGTCACTAGTTTATCCTGACACTAAAAACAGTTTTATCCACTCCACAAAACACCCGAAACAAATCTATTATTACACCAGACTGTCGATGTGAATGTCTGTGTCCATAGAATAATTTTAGAAGTAAAACTAACCTTGCATTTGAAGGATTTCAGTCTGAGCAGCAGCAGTGAGTTGTTCTTCCTGATAGAAAACTCGACAGCGGCGGACTGATATATGAGAAAATAGTCCCTCAACATGCGACGATTCATGTGATGCAAAGTTTTCAAATTTTCATCAAACTGTCTAAAAAGAGTCTCATTTTTAAGTTTGTATTTCCCAGACTATAAGTTGCACCAGCCAAAAAATACTTCATGGAAAAAAAAAACATACATACCGTATTTTCCGGGCTATAGGTCGCGCTCTTAAGCCTCCAACCGCATCAAAAAACGACCGCGCCCCACAATCCAGAGCGCCCCATACACGAATCCACTCGGGTGTCCCAGTACGACTTCAGTAAACTATAAAGCCACAAACACACACGGAGCAGACAGCGACGCCGACGAGGAACGGAACGGAGGAACGAACCGGAAAAAGCGACGAGCGCGACGTGCCGCTTCTAGACACGACTGAACAACTGAGTCACTGCGAACACGCCGACAATCCGCTGGTCCCAGACACACCCTCCCTACACGCCACAACTGAACAAAGCCCAGAGTCACCGTGAACGAACAAACAAACAAAACCACTCACCCATCACACTGTTGGGTTTCCTTTAAAGTCCCACGTGGATTATTTGTGAATAAAGTTCGAAAATAGACCATTTAATGACAGTGCGTCTTATAATCCAGAGCGACTAATAACCTGGACAATACGATAAGTTGCATTTTTTTGGGGGGGAAATTTGTTTTATAAAATCAGAGACCAAGAACAGACGTTTCAACACTTCAAACTGTCGACCTTGGAAGTCTTTTGGCAGTTTTTGGGACCTCGGTGTTCGTGCTCTGGTGGAGGCGGTCGCGTTGCATGAAGCAAATGTATGAAAATGTATTCCAAACATAAACTGTACAAAGAAGTGGACTTTTCTACGTTTATATGACGACGGTCTGAACAGAAGACGCAAAAGCGGCGTCGCGTCTTCACTTTTTATTCCGCGTTTAGACGAGTGTTTTCAGGAGTAAATCAGACGGTGACGCAAAAGTGTGTGGAATCCCAGGTGTCGTCCGTAACCGTCTGGCTTGCCTGCGACGAACTGGAATTTGAAAAAAGTAACTGCAGTATAATTATAGACCAAGAACAGACGTTTCAACACTTCAAACTGTCGACCTTGGAAGTCTTTTGGCAGTTTTTGGGACCTCGGTGTTCGTGCTCTGGTGGAGGCGGTCGCGTTGCATGAAGCGGTAACACCGGGAAGGTCGTCTCGCAAAGTCATTTATATTCATCACCTTGACAACTCCCTGAGCGAGGAGACGGAGCTGCAGCGTGGACGAGTCTCTCCCGGCAGCACGATGTTCAAGCAAACGTCTGTGAACTTGTTCCTCTCGCTGTGGCCGTCAGCGATTCGCTTTTTTTGTTTTCTTCATTGCAGTTTGAGTTAGGGATGCTCATGATTAGTTGACTAATCATGTTCATTTTTAATCGACAAACTGAATGTATGTTTCTGTGTGTAGTGTGAGGAGACGAGTCTGTGTCCGACACAAACACTGGAGTTGTGTCTCACAGTTCCACGTTTGGACTCTGGCTCCTTGGAGACTCTGTTCCTCTCAGTGATCGTGTTTACAGCACATCAGTGTCCAGGGGATGATCGGGGTTTTTTGAGTGTCCCGGTTTCGTCATGGTGCATGTAAACGCAGTGTCCCGGTTACTGCACACGCGTCCAAAACACAAACACTTTTCAGTCTTTTCATCACAACAGAAGCAAAAATAAATAAAGTGACCGACATCAATAAAGTGAAATGATGTTAAATAAAGAGCTGCACTAAACCTGCACACGTCTGATCTCTGAAAACATGAACCATCTCCAACACGACACACACACAGAACACACTCACCATCATCATCATCATCACCATCATCATCACCATCATCATCATCATCACCATCATCACCATCATCATCATCATCATCCCTCTGTCACAGAGAGAACACTCATATTCCACTGAGTCGTGTCCTTTAGTCCGACAGAAGCTGAACCACATCAGCGACACAAGGAAAGAGCTGTTGTTTGTTTTTTTCAGAGCTTATAGTTTATGTAAATGAGACATGTGATTTTAAGTTTAGTTTCTGCAAAACGTAAACAAATGTGTCAAATCTGCATTAAACACATTATAATGTCAAACGGGCCGATGTGGATCTAGACTCGTTATGTTTATATGTTGTAAAGTTGAGATTAATAATAATGATGATAATTTTAATATAAAAGCATCAATGATTAATCAAAAATGTATCATTAATTCTCTCAACATTCGATTAAGAAAATTTAACCGAATGTCCATCCCTAGTTCGGGTATCTCAGTCCCTCACAAGTTTCTCTCTCACTCCAAACTTTCTTTCTGCTGCTCGATTATCGTTTTCAGCTGCAGATTTCACGACTTGCAGTTTGTAATCTGCAGGATATGATTTTCTTGTTCCAGTCTGTCTTAGTCGTGTTTATAAGTTGATGTTTATTTATTTATTTTTTTATATTATTATTATTATTTTATTTTTTTCCAGTGGTACAGGAGTAACAGGAGTAGCAGATACTGGCACACAAGCCTAGAGCGCCCTCTGTTGGCTGTCAGTGTGAAAATAACAAACATGTAAAATGATATATTTTAATATATAAGTCACAGAATCACCCAAACCATGAAAGATTTAAAGTCTGAAAAATACAGCACTTTTAACAGGAGACTGGGAGAATTTAGGATTCTGACAAAATATCGCAAGTACCGTATTTTTTAGACAATAAAGTGCACCGGATTATAAGACCACCTCCTCCTTACTCCAGACATCATACTTGTTTACAGCCACTGTGCATTCAGAATCACTGAATGAATCGCTGTTAAAGTTTCTTGTCCAGAACTAGACCACAGGTGTCAAACATACGGTCCGGGGGCCAGATCCGGCCCTCCAAGTCGTTTAATCTGGCCCTCGGCTGATTTTCTACTAAAATATTTAATTGATATTTTCTATTAAAATCTTGTTAATTTTCTGTGGTGTTTATCACAGCAGCGTCTCCAGTGTCTCTGTACGTGGCCCCTCCCACCAGAGCAGCACAAATGAAGACTTGTCTCTTTCCAAACGCTCTTAAAGGACGATCGTTTTGACTGTTGACCGTGACACCCTCATCAGAAAAATGTCCAACATGAGAAATGTGGAGCCGAGTGCAGAATTTTACAACAAAAATGGACTTATTCCTGTTTACAAACAAGTTTATGTTAAAACATTGTGTTGAAATTGTATTTTTCTTAAAGTTTCAGGTTGTTCATAATATTATAATATTTTGTAAAAGAAAGAGTTCATCAATTAAAAAAGATTTATGTAAAAAATGTGCGTTTCTCTGCACAAATATTTGAACTTATTGTTATTTTTGGGGTTTATATGACATGAGTTTTCTGATCCGGCCTCTTTGGGATCAAAGTCGGTTGGATACGGCCCCCGGACCAAAATAAGTTTGACACTCCTGAATTAGACCCTTCGTCTGCTTCAGCTGCGCCATCGCTGGAATGAATCTCCAAGAATCACCTTAGTTTGGCTTCGCTCCTTTTCTCCTTCTCTTCTTCTTTCAGCGACCTCAAAAACTGACTTTCTTTTGCGGTGAACTGATCGTGGATTCTCGTCTGACATCGCAACAAACTTTGTGCAAACGGTGAGGAAGCTACAGTTGGAAAAAGCCTCTAAGAACCGTAAAAGCAAACGTAAACCACATAATCCCAGCACGCCGAAGAGTCAGTTACTCTAGAAACGTAGAGAGTTTGATTGACAACTTAATGTTTATCTGGCCCCAACATGCCCACAGTCGATGGATTTTCATTCTTTTCTTTTTTGTTCATCATAATTACAAGTCTGTTGCGTCTCTATAACGCTATTTTGAACTTTCACGACAATTTGAAACAAAAAAAATCTGAATCTTTAAAGAAAACTCACACGTAGAGTCATTTATGGACATGTTTTTTGTTTGTTTTTTTTTCAGAACGACTTCACAATGGGGCAGATCCTTTGAGTTTCTTCACCTAAACCCCATAATGACGCGCGTGTCATTAGGGCCAGACTTACAGCTGTGGTCTCCTAATGTGATTTTAATGTCCTGGGTTCTGTCCTGACGTGCGGCCGTCATTAGCTCGTTCGCCGGTGTGGTGCACGGACCGAAAGGTGTGGAAGCGAACCGCTAATGGAGCTCGCTAATGACCGGAGATGCCAAAGAAAAGTTTCAGACTGGGGCAGCAAAATATAACACAACTGGAGCTGGTTGTTTGGTCACTATTAGGAAATCACAATTATTTTT